CATCTCCAGCCTTTGCGGCCGCTTGGGGAGTGAGTGAATCAACAGAAAGAAGATATTCTTCTCTGTCTCTCCTCCTCTCTGTACGTGTGACTTTGTAATTAAAATATTAATAAATCTAAAAAATTTTTAAACAGCCCAATGTTGACATGTACAGAGGCTACACTTCTGCACCGAAAACATTTATATATAGAAGGCATAGCCACTCAGAATATCCTGGGTGGCTGTGTAATTGTCCCTGACTCTGCAATAGATCAAGCATTACTTCCAAAATCTCTTGCAACTGCTAACCCCTTTGTCATCTGTAGAAGGATATTGTGACTCATGAAAGTCAGTGAACACAAGATTACAATTGATTGGATAACATTTTATGAGAATAGGTGGATGGATGCCATTTGTGTAACTGACTGGATACCCTTTGTATGAGAACAGCAGAATGAATACCTTTTGTATAACTAATTGGACATAATTCGCATGAGAACAGCTAAATGTGTACCATTGTATAACTAAATGGATACATTTGTGTGAGAACAGTTGAGTTGGCAACATGTGAATAAGAACATTTGGTGGAATATGCAAAAGAAAAATATAGAAACAGTTTATGGGTTTCGTTGATAAGCTCAATACTTCCTCCCTTATCCTATATGACCCTAAATATATAAAGTCTGAGGCCACTAATAAACTTCAGCTTTCAACCATCAGTAGGAGTCCACTTGAGTTATTATCAGCTCCAGGCACAAAGTCCATTGCTGCAGGACAGTGAGTGTCATCATCATCATCTCTAATACCCAAAACCACCTGCTGGCAAGGAAGCCATCCTGGGAGAGTACTGCAAGTGTGCAAAAGCAAGGATAGCGTAAGAGGTTATGCAGGCTAATAGGTAATTAGATCCATGTACTTGGTAGAATGTGAAAAGGGAGAATTTCGTTCAAACTGTACAAGATGTTTGTTTCTCCCCAAAGGCCGTGCTTAGTAAGACTGAGGTGCAATCCCACGCCAAGCTTTTAGTTTTATCATGGGAATAACAAGGAAGCAATGACCCAGCCTTTCTGAGTATTTAGTTTCTTATGAAAAAAAAAGTTCCTCGACACACCCATCAAGCTTTTTGTTTTAATCTGAGCTAAGGAAACAGAATCACAAACCTGACCCTCTGATGAGTTTCGCCCCACCTCTCATTGATTGTTACCTATTACTTGGGTCACCAAAACTGCGCTTAAGAGACACCACTTCAAACATTTCCTTGGGTCTTTCTCTCTTGAAAACTTCCCTCGTGACAGGCAGGAGGTCTCTGACTTAAGAAATCTGTTTGCTCATTGATTTGTCCATGTGGAAATTCTTTCAATGTGAGACAGATCAGAGGTTACCTAGTCCCTTGGGAAAAGTTCCCCATAACAGTATCACCTGTATAATCCAGGCTTGAGATCACATGTCACACAACATACTTCAGATATGATGTTAGCTTTGCCTTCTCTCTTTCCCATGCTTTGTTTTTTGTACTTAAAATTGATTCCCTGTGCCCGGCGCGGTGGCGCAGTGGTTAAGGTCCTCACCTTGCACGCCCGGGATCCCATATGGGCGCCGGTTCTAATCCTGGCAGCCCCGCTTCCCTTCCAGCTCCCTGCCTGTGGCCTGGGAAAGCAGTCGAGGACGGCCCAAAGCTTTGGGACCCTGCACCCGCGTGGGAGACCCAGAAGAGTCTCCTGGCTTCGGATCGGCATAGCATCAGCCGTTGCGCTCACTTGGGGAGTGAATCATCGGACGGAAGATCTTCCTCTCTGTCTCTCCTCTCTGTATATCCGCCTTTCCAATAAAAAATAATAATAAAAATAAATCTTAAAAAAAAATTGATTCCCTGAGTTTAAGGCGTGGGATCCAGAAAACACATTGGTCAGTGTGTTCTGTAGGTCTTTTATTGTCTTTTAAATTGGAATGTCAGACTGAGAGAGAAGCAAAGGGGAAGATCTTCCATCAGTTAATTTACTCCCCAAGTGGTCACAACAGCCAGAGCTGAACTGATCCAAAACTAGAAGCCAGGAGCTTCTTCCAAATTTCCCACACAAGTCCCATGGCCTTGGGCCATCCTCAACTGCTTTCCCAGGTCACAAACAGGGAGTTGGATGGGAGGTGGAGCTGCCGAAATTAGAACTGGCACCCATATATATGGGATCCTAGCACGTTCAGAGAGGACTTTTAGCAGCTAGGCCATGGTGCCGGGTCCAAGCTCTGCCATTCTTAACAAGCTCCTGACATCCTGTATTCTAAGACACTTACTCCAGTTCCAGCAAGCATGTTCACATTCCATCCTGCCAGAAGAAAGGGGCAAAGAACATCCCAGGATCTGTGGAGATTGAAGAAGCTCAGGAAATAGTACCTCAGATCTGTACCTTTGCACTTGAATCTGAAAACCCTTGCCGACAAGGGCTTTAGACTTTGACTATAATAAGCCAGCCGGAGACAGTCTCCAAAATGCAACTCAGCTGTCGGCTGTCACCACCCTAGGAATCTCCTGAACCAGAGGAGTTTACACTCATGTCACAGGCACTATATTACAAGCTGTCCAAGTATGAATTCTTAAGCCCTGGACCAGCTGGACAATTCCCAAGGAAGCTACCATTAGTACGTCTAGTTGGCACATCATTTCAAGAGGGAGAGAAATATGTGGCGCTGGCAGTTGTCAGGGTCCTTAAATTCAAATAAAACTATCGATGGCTAGGCAATCACCTGACATTTGTGGAAAATACATGCTCTAATTTTCCACATAGAAATGCGGCTTTTGTCCTAGAAGGGATTTCTGGTGTGCTAGAATTTGAATGCTGGCTTCTCGGCTATTCTGCCCCATCCTGCAAGGGAGACAGAAGGGTAGATGAAAGACGGATAGAGGAATTCAGCGAGCAAGCTTTGAGTGACAGCTAGAGGCAGATCCTTACGATCTCTGCCCCCCACCATCAAGTCGCCATTCCCACACACATTTTTCTCCTTGATCTAGTTTTTGATGTTCTTATATCTTGTTACCAGCATTTACTCCAAAGTAAGAACCCATGTTCTTCCCTTCCACAGACCCTGCATGGCCAGGTTTCCTTGCTTCTCTTGGAGGACACATAACCACTTAGTTCCTCTTTCTCTTTTCCATTCTGTGTGTGTTGTGAACACACAACCCAGCATCTGCCCCCACTGTCAACACTCAGAAAATATACACATAATAGATACATCTTAAAATCCATTAGTGTGAGGCAGGCACTTAAGAGCGAAGACATCAGCACATTGCGGAGCCTTGGCATGATTCAAGTGCAACATCTGAATGCAGTGGTTGCCTAGGAGGGTCATAGACACACAACTGTAATGGTCGAAGTACCTGCAAGGAGAGCAGACCTAGACTCCCAGCTTCAGATGTCCCAACCCCTGCTGCTGCTGGCACTGGGGGATTAGCCAGCAGGTGCAAGGTGTCTCTCTTCCTTTTGAATACGTCAAAAATTTTTCTATAAGTAGTACGATTACAACTTCTACACGGATATTTATGAGGGAGCTAAGATGAAGTGATCACAGGAAACATCTTTGGGCAATGGTATAACGTGAGAACTGAGTGATACAGTGGCTTTTCATTTTTTTTTTTTTTTCTTTTTACAAATCGTCGTATATCACAAAAGCAGGGAACTGAAAGAGAACTGCAACAGCCAGGATATGAACCAGCACTCATATGGGATCCTGGTGCATACAAAGCAAGAATTTGCCTCTGAGGCAACAAGACTAGGTCCATCACATAAGGTTTAGAAAAAAGAAAACGACCTGAGAGAAATGAAATGAAATTGCTAAAATTTATACAAATGAATCACCTGAGAACCTGGCACGATGGCTCAATTGGCTAAACCATCAGCTTGCAAGCGTGCGGATAACATAGGGGCATCAGTGCATGTAGAGTGCTGCACTTCCCACCCCAGCTCCCTGCTCATCACCTGGGAAAGCAGTAGAGAATGACCCAAGGCCTTGGGAGAGCTGGAACAAGCTCCTGGTTTCAGATCAACTAGCTGCTGTCAAAGTAACCATTTAGACAGTAAACCACTGTACGGAAGATCTATCCCTCCTACTACCTTTCCAATAAAAAATAGCTAAATCTTTAAAAGGAAAAAAAAAAAAACCTTGAATATCCAAGTCCCCATGTAAATGCAAAACAGCACACCTCAGGAAGGGGCTGGGAGATTGCTCAGAGGAGCAGCTTCCTTGCTGTCGTAGTGAGATATTCAAGTAGTCCAGAAATCAAGCACACTGAGACTTCCCTATGAACACAGACATTCAGAAAAGCCTGGTGGAGGCGTCTTTGCTGATGTGGGATCAGACAGCAGCTAGTCAGCCAAAATGGAAACACCTGCTTCCAAGCAAAAGTAGCATTGCCTGTGCTCAACCTCCACCCTAACTTAGCCACGTGGACCAAAAACGGTGCACGAAAGCTTCCCTTACTCTACTGGCACAATGAATTCACGGCTGTGAATCTAGCACAAGTGGCAGCAATAAAAACTGAAATATCCATCCATTCTTAGACAGCCGTTCAGTTAGCAGCTTCTTCATGGTTACCAGTTCACAGCGTAGCAATAACAAGACAAATAGCTAACGCACTGCAATTGAAAAACCACAATTACATTTAGCATGACAGACATCATGAGTGCATAGAAAAGAAAATCATTCTAAAAAAGCTGCCAGTTTTACTTTCTGGGCATGCTCAGCATCCTAAAAATGTTTTGAAGCAACCAAACAGGACAAGATATACCGCTTCTTAAGCCAAAAAATCATCCCAAATTAACCAACCAAAAATAATAAAGACATACAGTGACAAATGAGGAAATCTCTGAAGTCACAGCTGTTTTGAAGATGAAGTGGTGGCTCTGAAAAGAGCCTTTGGATTTTCACGGTGCGGTGCTCCAGGGAAGGACGACTTAAGCCCGCTCCCCGCGGATGCGGCGCGCCAGCTGGATGTCCTTGGGCATGATGGTGACGCGCTTGGCGTGGATGGCGCACAGGTTGGTGTCCTCGAAGAGCCCCACCAGGTAGGCCTCGCACGCCTCCTGCAGCGCCATGACGGCCGAGCTCTGGAAGCGCAGGTCCGTCTTGAAGTCCTGCGCGATCTCGCGCACCAGCCGCTGGAACGGCAGCTTGCGGATCAGCAGCTCCGTCGACTTCTGGTAGCGCCGGATCTCGCGCAGCGCCACCGTGCCGGGCCGGTAGCGGTGCGGCTTCTTGACGCCGCCCGTGGCCGGCGCGCTCTTGCGGGCCGCCTTGGTGGCCAGCTGCTTGCGCGGGGCCTTGCCGCCGGTCGACTTGCGGGCTGTCTGCTTCGTGCGAGCCATTTGGGAAGCCTGCAGCAGCTACAAGGAGAGACTGAGTGCGTTCCGCACCGTTCTCCCTTTAAATATACTGAGGGACATTCTTATTGGTCTCTCCACTTTAAAAACTCCCGCGGAGTAAGGCCAGTGGCTGCAGCGAGGATGACGTGGTGCTGACGCACTGGGCTCTCATTGGATTAATTCCTTCCGGCCCAGCGACAACTTTTTTGCCGCTCTTGTTCGTTTACTATGGTGATTGAACCGTAGCAGCCGTTAGAGAAGCATTTGATATTCAGTGCGAGTCTTCCGGGAATAGGCTTGGAACGCCTCGTGTCCCAGCTATTTTCCTGCGGATTTCTAGATTGCGGCAACTGCCACTCTAACACATCCCTGGGCTCCTGTCAAATGACAAAGGCCTTAGGAAATTCGGATCCGCCTAAAATAGCTCCGAACCCGACTTTTCCCAACAATTCTGGACTCCTGAAAGCCTCAACAGCCGTTCTCCTAGCTCGGTGACAACCTCCCGGACTCATGTTAGCTTAAACCTCTTTGTCTACCACAGTGAAAACAGAAGCTGTCCCCAGCAGCTATGTTAAAGTTTCAGGACCTGTGGGGCGAAAACGAAGGGTTTTACTGCTACTTTAGACAGGCGGGATTGTATGAACTGAACGAAAACATTTCTTGGTCCCGGCGCTGTGGCGCAGTGGTTAAGTCCTCGCCTTGCACATCCGGGATTCCATATGGGCGCCGGTTCTATCCCGGCAGCCCTGCCTCCCTTCCAGCTCCCTGCCTGTGGCCCGGGAAAGCAGTCGAGGAGGGCACAAAGCTTTGGGAACCTGCGCCCATGTGGGAGACCCGGAAGAGGCTCCTGGCTTCGGATCGGCATAGCATCGGCCGTTGCGCTTACTTGGGGAGTGAATCATCGGACGGAAGATCTTCCTGTCTCTCCTATCTGTATATCTGCCTTACCAATAAAATAAATATTTTAAAAAATCATTTCTTATGACGCCTTTGCCAGGGGTATGGCCTATTTGTTACCCACAAAAACTGGACACATATCCTAACCTCAAATGTACAACATGAAGTATAGCACTCTTTAGAAATGACACGGCTAACAGCTCATCTCTGAAAACGTGGATGGCTCTGAAAAGAGCCTTTGGTTTGAAAACAAAACAAAAAAACCTTTACAGATCTTAGACTTTACTTTCCCTTGGCCTTGTGGTGGCTCTCGGTCTTCTTGGGCAGCAGCACGGCCTGGATGTTGGGCAGAACACCACCCTGGGCAATAGTGACCTTGCCCAGCAGCTTGTTGAGCTCCTCGTCGTTGCGGATGGCCAGCTGCAGGTGGCGCGGGATGATGCGCGTCTTCTTGTTGTCGCGCGCCGCGTTGCCCGCCAGCTCCAGGATCTCAGCCGTCAGGTACTCGAGCACGGCAGCCAGGTACACGGGAGCGCCCGCGCCGACGCGCTCGGCGTAGTTGCCCTTGCGCAGCAGCCGGTGCACGCGGCCCACGGGGAACTGCAGCCCGGCCCGGGAGGACCGAGTCTTGGCCTTGGCGCGAGCCTTGCCGCCCTGCTTGCCGCGTCCAGACATGGCGATGGCTCTGAGGTTCAGTTAAACCCAAGATGCCCAGCACCCGGCAGCTGCACAGTTATACTCTGCTCTGGTTTCGTAAAGTAGCCTATGGCAGCGTCCGGATGCCACGTCCAGCCAATCACAACGCAGCTGTGAGAACAGGCTGCCTCTAGTTTGCATAGGACGTCTGCCGCCGTAGGGCGGTCCTGTCTGAGGCGAGGATACTGATAGAGCCAATGGGAGCTCAGCATCCCGTCGTAGCCTATCAGCAGGCAGCGAAGCCAGCAAGCCAATGAAAACCCAGACATCTACAATCCTCATTTGCATGTTCAGCGCAGAAATAGGCTGGTGGCGCACGGGCCTCCGCACTCTGACTTCTTCTCGTGGAGGACAGATTTGAGTCTTGCAGCCACGATGCCTGAGCCAGCCAAGTCCGCTCCTGCCCCGAAGAAGGGCTCCAAGAAGGCGGTGACCAAGGCGCAGAAGAAGGACGGCAAGAAGCGCAAGCGCAGCCGCAAGGAGAGCTACTCCATCTACGTGTACAAGGTGCTCAAGCAGGTGCACCCCGACACGGGCATCTCGTCCAAGGCCATGGGCATCATGAACTCGTTCGTCAACGACATCTTCGAGCGCATCGCGGGCGAGGCGTCGCGCCTGGCGCACTACAACAAGCGCTCGACCATCACGTCGCGGGAGATCCAGACGGCCGTGCGCCTGCTGCTGCCCGGCGAGCTGGCCAAGCACGCCGTGTCCGAGGGCACCAAGGCCGTCACCAAGTACACCAGCTCCAAGTAGACGCGTGCTTGGGCACAATTCACCCCAAAGGCTCTTTTCAGAGCCACCTACACAGCCTATGAAAGATCTGTGACATTGGTGTTTATGCATACTGATTATAGGTAACTAACTGGCCACAGTTACTCCTTTTTACTGCTTTGGGGAGATACAGCATTCTGTCCCCAACCTGGTTCTGGTTACAAAAACTCCCTTCAGTAACAATGTGCCAGTGTTACTATACTTGAATTTAACACAATTGCTATCTGGTGAGCCATAATGTTTTGGACTCTTGCTCCTCTGTACTGTACCTGCATTGCTAGATTACTAAATTTCGTTTTGCTTTTAGCACAGAAGGGTATCATTACAAGGAATTACTGTCTAGTCATCTTTGTCACTTTTTATCGTGCAATCCCTTACTACCTTCAGGATGGCCCCAGTATTTAGGTTTGAACTTATTTACACAAAAACACAACTGATGATGTGAAGGAGATTTCTAGTTTGTTTACTTTATCAGCTGTGATGTGCTTTTTCTTGGTTTTCTCATTGGTATTGTACGTGCCTCCGCAGCAGATGACAGCGTGCTTTAACTGACTCAATTTTGGATTGCTGCATATGCAGCAAATTCCCTATGCCTGCGATAATAAAGGCGTCATTTAATATCTTGTATATCGTTGTCGGATTCACTGTAGAAGTGGACATGGACTCTCGGCCAAAAAAAAAAAAAAAAGGTGGAGTCACAAGAAAATTTTAAAAACCTTTTTCCAGGTGTTAAAACTTACAAAAGCCTCTGCAAAACTCTTCCCAGAAAAACCACGGCTCCAGCTAACTGAAAACGCCAGAACACGCCACCTTGTTTTCGGCGTATCAGATTGGTAGCACTCGCATGCCTCATTTGCATGTGCGTCACAAGCTGGAGTTTGCCTCATTTGCATGAGCGGACCTGAATGAGAAGGACTTCAGATTTTTTATTATTCTTCTTGAAGTGTAAAAGCTGGGCCACATAGATAACTGGGTCCCCTTGAGCCAGTGTCCAGTCTTCTCTGCTTCTGAAAAGATTGCAACACTTGCACTTGCCTCCCCACTTTTTCATTTCTATACCATCTGAGGAAACATCCTTGACCCCATCCCAGGGTCAGCATAACAATGACTACTAGAAATACTGGGTTCAAAGATGAGTGGATAATAATGTATTCTTGTTTGTAGCACATAGATGATTATCTTACTGTGTTATACACATAATCACAAGACCCAAATCCCAGAAGAATCACAGGCAAAATATTCACCAGCACTTCTGTATTCATTTGGGTGAAATCATTAACTGCTTGGAAGGGAATCAGCTCCAGATATTCCCAGGAGTGTTGCCAAGAACAAAAATACTTTGTTCAACTCTTCCGGTCCTATGCTAAGGAAAAGGGATGATTTACTTAACTGATAACTGAGCCTTACCAGGGACTATGTGTACTAGGGTTTTTTGTGGGTTTTTTTTTTTTTTTTTATATGTAAAAATGAATAGGATAATGTTAAAATATAGCTCATGAATAAGGAAGCTAAAACATAAAAGGAACCAAGCATTAAAGGGCAAAAGGGCAAGAATTATTTGTGAACTACCTGGTGAGTCACATGAAGCTGAACATATGTTCCCCAAAAATTCAAATGGGATAGGCAAGCAAAATAGTATGTAATAGCATGGGCCAGAAAAATGCAAAGTCTTATCAAGACCAGAAAGACAAAAACATTCAGGGCCAGGGTTGCCTCTAGTGGGACAACTGGAGGATGAGCTTAGGTCAAAGCAGTTCTTGTTCATATCTATGATGATAGCTCATTTGCCATTGGACTCACATATGGTTCTCCTGTTATCTATCCTTCATAACTGACCCATGATTTAGAATATTTTTATTTGCTTATACTCAATTAAAAAACAATGCATAAATCTATTAATGAAAAAGTTACTTCACCTCCCTCACAAACATAACATCCATAAGCAATTAAATGGTGCTTGTATTAAAATTTTCATCACTCTTCACCTCCCAGAATTCTGTAAATATCCAGAAAAGACAGGTAGCGCTCTTTGCAAAATTGTTGCCAATATGCAAGACTTACTCATTTTGTATGGCTCCTTCGTGTATTATTTTCCTTTCCTGCCAGGAGAAGGAACCTCCCACATGCATTGAAATGCTTCATTTTTGTCAACGGTAAATTCATTTAGACTTATGCTACTTATTCATTAATCCATTCACTTGTTTAGATGAATTCAATATAAATAACTTAAAAACAAAATAGTCAGTGCAGCCATGGATTATGTAAAAGAATTAATCCGTAATCAGAACCAGAGGCAGGAAAAACATACTGCATGGGCCCTGTGCTCGTGTGTAACGCAGATTCTTTCACTAGCCCACAGGGCCTCCAAAACCAGCACCAAGCCACTGTCCAAGTACCAAAGACCAGTCCCGTTACTGCCACTAATACCCCCCTGTGACATTGTAGTTGATATTGCATTCTTGCATCACTTTTCATAGAATATGTTCTAACTGCAAGCTGACTGCCACCTCTCCAAGGACAAGTAGTGGGAATTTGCAGTGCTGAGCAGCCTGGCCACAAACAGACAGTCTCACTGAGGGGATAAAATTGCAATACAAACCTACAGGCGCTAAGCAAGGACTACCTATGGAGATGTGGAAGCTGAATGTTTTACATGGAAAGAACCAGATAGACCATCCCCTTGGAGACTCAGAAAAAAATTTCAAAGAGTTTGTACAGCTGGGTTGGGAAGAATAAAAGGCTGCAAAGTGAAAGTGACCAGATCAAGAAAGCAGGACCTTGTAAGCCACTCAAAGGACTTGGGCCTTTTACTCTGGGAGATGTCAGAGCACTGTTCCATCTGCTTGGCCCCTGACTGCATCCCATTCACCTGCTGTGTAAAAAGCAAGCCAGGCAGAAGCAGGTGGGAGAGGAGGATGCTGAGCAGGACAGCAGTGGGGAAGACTGCGTTCTGACATTGGTGCTAACAGGACTCACTAATAGGTAGAGGGTGAAAGTTGAGGGGTGGGATGGAAAAAAAAAATGACTCCAAAGGGAAGAGTAAAATCACCAGTCACCATTTTCAAGAAGAGAAACTGGTTTTGTGAGAAGTGATGGCAGAAATTCTGTGTGAGACCTGTTTAAGTCAGAAGTGAAAGTAATTCAGACCCTCAAGCAGAGACTTGCGCCAAGGAGCAGCGCCTCTGACTCTGCAGTTCAAAGCCTGTGGTTTAGGTTTCCACACAACTACAGTATCTCCACAGCTATAAGAAAACATGAGTTTAACAGTATCACCTGTTCATGTTCAAGTCTACCTTCTCAGATCTGGAGCTAGTAAGGTGCACAGAAAGACCAAACTGTTACAAGATTCATCAGCTGAGGTGCCTGAGAACTTTCTGGAATTGCATTAAAATATGTGGAAGAGTGAGTGATTGTCAGGAAGGCTCAAACTTCAACAAAAATCAATTATCTGACTAAGAATTCCAATGTCATGACCCATTTGCTTAGTAAGGACATTTTTGCACAATTCTGAATTAGGAATAATACCCGTTCTGATTCTAAGGATTATAGACGAAATGAATGACTAGAAAAAGCACTGCTAAACCAACAGCCATCAATTCACATGCCACATTTCTTATTCCCCTGACCTAGCATCCAGTCGGCACACTGCCTCTCTTCATTATCAGCCTTCCTTTCTAAGATATCTCACCTGATAGTGTTGTTAGTCTCCTGACAGTTTTACTCTGACAATTGGTAACATTGTTAAGATCCCAGACCTGTTCCCTGATACAGTTTCCTACATCCAACTGACTAGCCCTTAAACATGTTAGAGACATCTCAAACTCCCTGGTACCCAAGGCTTGCTCCTTATTAGCTCCGGACCTTGCTCCTTCCCTGTTCCTCCCACACTTTAGCAATTGGTATGTACGTGGGTTCCATGTCATCCAAATCATTCGTGAATATTCTCCATTTCCTACCCTTACTAGCTCAGAAAACCATCAACTCTTCTTTGAAAATACACACAAAATCCACAGGCTAAATTAACACAAGGATCAATAGCTCTCAGATCTCTGGCCTCCTAAATGGTTTCGCTGCTCCTGCTGTCCATGCTCCATCATTCAGAGAAGAAGGATGTTTTCAAATTTACATCAGCTCTGGTCAGGCTTCTGCTCTGAACCCTTCGGTCATTCCCACCCACTCAAAGCTAAACCCATGTCCATATTCTGGCTGCAAGGCCTCAGAACAACCTACACCTGTCCTTGAACCCCAATCTCCAGGTCTTTCCTATTTGGTCTTCCGTTTGGACTATTCCTCCAGATCTTTCCCAACCGTCACTTCATCAATAAAGCTTTCCATGGTCCTATCATCTCCTCTTCCCCCTTTCCACCTTCACCTTAAAGCCTACTCCTGCTTGTCGGGGGACCTTAAAGAGCTCACGCCACCTAACACAGATATTACTTATTTACAATTACTCCACGCTCCGTTTATACACTGATATAAAAATATTGCCCTGTTTAATTTCATTCATTGCTGTTGTTACCGAAGATTCAGGTCCTTGTCAACAATGTCCAGTAAGAACAACCAGTACAAGATTAGAGGATACAGACTTAAATCAGTAGATGAGGCACCAGGCAGCCAGTGTTCTTCCGAATGAGCGTGGCTCGGGGGTTTTTACAAGCTACAAAGGCGCTGAGTTCTCGCCTGTAATGAGAAGTGGAGAGCATTGTTTCCAGGGTCGCCGCCCTGACGCCAATTTGTCTCAAGTCTTGGCAATGCATCCCACTTCTGCCATTAAGACATATGGCTGTTCGTTTGAGCCCGCGAAGGATAACAGATGTACGGGATACCGGTGCCCCCGCGCGGCAGCCTGCAACAGAACCCGTCTTCTGTCTGGAATAGCATGAGGAAGAAAACGAGGGTGATCCTCCATGCTTAACGAGGCGCTGTTCTACCGAAACAGCAAGCTGCCAAGCACAGTTCGTCTGGATTTGTACTGAGAAATCCCTAATTATCTCTAACTTGGCACTAAGTTAACACGAAAGTTTGAAGTGGCTTATCTGTACTGTGCACCTGGTTAAAACCACGGTCTTCAGACACCTGCGCAGTCTAGTTTTTGCAGAATGAGTACAAATTGATGCTACCATGGCGTTAAATGCGGATTACATACCTAATTCAATAATCACCGCTTAAACAACAGCTGCCTTCTAATAGCCTGAAATAACCTGACTCCCTGCTATTTCCGTAACAAAGTACATAATAACTGACACGGTATAGAAACCAGATTGCGACGCGCGTGCTGTTCCCTCCCCGAGCACCCAGATACTGAGCTATGGCGGCGGGAACCAACCAGCTCCTACCGTCCCTCATACCGCTTTGTTCCCTGTTCCCGCCATTTTGAGGGCTGCAATATTGCGGAACCGTCTCACATGTCAGGCTGCTTACCAAAAATTTAACAGGAAAACGGGGAAAATCATCCTGCAGTTACGACAGTAAAGCATACATCGCAGGAATGCGACACAAATCAGTTTCACGAAAAGCTTAAAACCCAACCAAAAAAAAAAAACCACAACTGCCGCAAAAACGCCATTGCCGCAAAAACGAAAAAACGTGTTAGCTCTTTTTCATGAAAACGTGGGCGGCCCTGAAAAGGGCCTTTGGTTGAGAGTTCGGGGTTGCAGGAGCAGCTCAGCCGCCGAAGCCGTAGAGGGTGCGTCCCTGGCGCTTGAGCGCGTAGACCACGTCCATGGCGGTGACGGTCTTGCGCTTGGCGTGCTCGGTGTAGGTGACGGCGTCGCGGATGACGTTCTCCAGGAAGACCTTGAGCACGCCGCGGGTCTCCTCGTAGATGAGGCCCGAGATGCGCTTGACGCCGCCGCGGCGCGCCAGGCGGCGGATGGCGGGCTTGGTGATGCCCTGGATGTTGTCGCGCAGCACCTTGCGGTGGCGCTTGGCGCCGCCTTTGCCAAGGCCCTTGCCTCCCTTGCCGCGACCAGACATGCTTGCTACTACCGAGTGCAAACAGCAAGTAGCTAACGAACACAGAACATCCCTTTATATGCCGGGATTGCGGACCTGATTGAGAACAGGCTGCGTGCACTGGCTCCGCCCTTCTGGCTGCAGTTCCCGCCCCTCGCGCCAGCGCGATGACGTCACAATGCGCTGATTTGGCGCGCTCTCAATGGATTGGGCTGCGGCCTAAACTGCTCTTTTCCCACCTGAGAGTGTTTTAGGGCGTCCTGACAGGGTCGGAAGGTTCACGGTTTTTAGCGATTGTCATTTACCGTCTGGGACGTTTGCGGCAGACGGCACGGGAACCCCGGCTCCCACGCCCGGAAGCAGCGGCCTCGCTGCCGCGCTCGGTCCCGGACGTGGCGGCTCCGGCAGATGGGAGCTCCGCAGAGGAGTTGCAAACTCCAGGTCTTTCACCCAGCAGCCTTACATGAAGGACTTTGCGAACACAGATAACTGTTGTGATTTCACCCCCTACTGATGATCGGGACGCGTTCCTATCTCCACTTCCGAACCCATTTACTAAGCCCTGGAAACCTCGTGTCACTATCCAGCCGCCCGTTATCTGCGCCCAAAGACTTACCAGTGTGTTGGTGTTTAGGTCTCTATCACCAATATTTGGATTAAAAACATATTATCTGCAGACGTTGTTAACAAAGGTATTGAAGCGGTGAGCGGCCGTGAAGCAGAGTGGCGCAGCGGAAGCGTGCTGGGCCCATAACCCAGAGGTCGATGGATCGAAACCATCCTCTGCTATCAGCTGTTTTTACTACTGCATTTTTTTTCTGTTTTAAAACAGGAAGTTTAATTACCAAATAAAACAAGAAAACGAACTCTCCGTGCTTGTAGAAAACTTCTCAAGTTAAAAAAAAAAGACGCCCTGAATAGTAATATTTAAATTCTGCTATGTCAGTAGGTAAGCCTATTGTCTGTCGCTAGTATCCCTAATTATATATGCCCTCCCTACTTTCCAGATTTTTGCTGGTTTCTAAGGTGGTCGTGTTACTTGCCAAGCAGTTACATCCGTTCTGCATTGTCCTAAGAAACTGGGGAAAGGTGAAAGCCAAAGGTGGCCACTGTGGAGGCAGCGTGGGAGGACCCTTACTTCCCTCTACCGCGGAAGCAGTCCTTGCCAGGTGGTCAGGGGATGGCCTAGGTATCCACTGGAGCTTCCTCGCTAAGGTCTTTCCAAACCACAGGTCTTCATTTTGGAAATGAAAGAGTAGTTTGTGGCAAAACTTTCAATATCTAGGATCTCAATAGCATCCAAGATAAAACCGTGGCAGCTAAAGGCCCTTAACCTGCAAAATGTCAGTTAGAACCTGTGTGCTGATGGTTTCCTATTTTTCTTAGAAAAGGCCGCCATTCCAATAAATATCAGATCCTGTACTGAGCTTCAAAAAGAAACGTTATGTAGCCTACAGTCTATAGATGCTTTTTGTCTGTGAGGAAACGCAATACTCCGTGAAAAGGATTATATGATCAACCCAGTGGGAGCAAGGAAAATGGATGGTCTTAGTTCCATGACTCAACCTATAACTGAGGGTCAATTATAGCAAAAGACACAATTCAGGAAAACCAAGGCAGGTGACAGCTGCAGGAGCCTTTCCTTTCCCGTCCTGACACACAACTCTGTTGACAGCGGGCACATGTGTAGGCTCTGCTTGCCTATAAAGTCTGCCTGAGTATTGGAATCCAGGTTGTTACAGGGAGACGGTCACTTACCCGGACATAAAGTGCACATTGACAATTTTTATGTTTTCCATATGCTGACAGCCTGGTTCGTAGAAAACTACCACTACCAGTATATACTGTCATTACCCAGCATTCCGTAGACACGGGAGTATTTTGGTTTTCAGTATGTGGGCAGTGTGTGCCATTATGTGTCATCACAATGAAACCCATCTACACGATGAAATGAAAACAGTAAAAAGATTTGCTGCATTCACATTGCCCTGGCAATGGCTAATTCAGGAAGAGTGGGAGGTTTTGTGCCAAACCTGAGGGAGTCTTCCCAGACAGCCAAAAGTGTTCCAGATAAAAGAACTGAATGCAAGGAGGTGTGACTTCCCAGGACTTCTAAGCAGCAAGAACAAGCAATTCAGCGTGATGGGCCTTTAGGGGGCGCTCTGAGGGCCAGGGATGTCAACTCGTCACAAAATCTGGGGTCACAGTACGTAATCAAAGCAAAAGAGGTAGGGAAAGGGCGCCGAGTGAAATCTTAAACACGCTCAAGGTTTTGCTTTTTGTTTTTGTTTTTGTTTTCATCTAATAGGACGTCATTGTCTAATTATGGACCATTTTAAAAGGCAAACTTCTGGAATTTTCACATGTTGGAGACCTTGATTGCTTTTTCTGGAAAGTTCCCTCCTAAATTAGAAGAGGTAGGGGTTGGACAATGCATATTTCTGGAGTCTGGTCACTCCATACTGGTCATCCTCACTTGGATGCTGAAGACAGGATTGAACCCTTGACGTGTCTCAATGGATCCTAGCACCCCAAACATACTTCCCCCTCAAAATACTCCTCCTGCAGGCCTCCCTCGGTGCACAGGAACTGTTGTTACAACAGACCAGAACTGGAGAGGCATACCACTTCTCTCTCACCCTCACCCAATTACCAGATACTCAGACCATACAAAATTCAACTATTTCTCACCCTTCCAACATCTGGTCAAGATTACATGTCACCACAGTATAGCCATAGTCTTTAACCAAACTCCATCCAACCAGAAAAGAATGGGAAGTCCATTTTCAGATTATTTTGCAGGGTACAAAGAAAATCTTGATAAATAATCCTCGTGGTGAAGAGGGTTACAGAACTCAAGAAAATATGAAAATAAGCAATTCCTCGCTTCTTGTTGAACTCCACCATTTGCCAGATGTCATTCCATGGAGAGGGAAAGAAAGACTGTGAAAAGCCCCATTTCTGAGCCGCCGACTCTGCTCATTTGCTAATCCGGCCAAGCCTAGGCTCACCAGGGAGTTAGGTGGGTAGGTGCTCCCAGCGCCTGGGGTTCACAAAAAAGAAGAAAATGTGTTTGATGCTGACTGCTGACGTAATCTTCAGACGAGGTTCATGAGCTCACGGAGACTCACTGAATGAAAGACACTACACCAAATCCGACCTTCACTTCCCGGCGCACGGGGAAGCCAAGCACAGCGCAGAGCGCCGCAAATGTCGTGTCTGCGCCACAGAGGGATTCATTGCAACCTTTGCCCTCTCATTACGTGTCTCTCTCATAGAATGAGGACCGTTTGCGGGTGCCTGCGGCCCGAGAACCAGGGAAGGGAACGTGCCCTGGCAGGTGCATTGCGCAGACTCGTCGAGTCCCTGTAAGGGTGCCCGTTGGTGGGCAGCGTGGAAAGAAGTCTTACAAATGTGCATGCAAAAACTTCTCCCTCAAAATACAGAATTTATAAAGCCAGCTTCCCTGTGTTACGAAACAGAAATAACTGTCAACCTCATAATGTCGCTTTGCGGCCCTAAACAGCAAACGAGAGCTGGAGTTTCCGTTTTTCCAACAAAAGGAATGGGCAGCGCCGGGACGCTGGCGCTTTTGCTCTTTATGGTTTATGGGCTGCAGTTTGAGACCAGTCAGATTGCTTCATTTTCAAGAGCTGCAGAAGCTCCCACCCAGCGGTGACCACGTGGCCTAACGGATAAGGCGTCTGACTTCGGATCAGAAGATTGAGGGTTCGAATCCCTTCGTGGTTAGTCTGGTTACATTATCTTTTCCTTTCCTGTTCTGTACAGACCTCAAATCTCCCTCCCTGTTCTATTGGAAAAAAGAAAAAAACCTTCTTGTGAGATCTCCACATGTTCCTCTTAGGTTCTCTAAATCTGGGTTCTGAGAAGAGCGATGAAACCAAGACTGCAGGTCACAAATGAGAGATCCGGCCATCCTGTACTCCCTAGAGTTCCCAGATTCTTTCCTAGTTGTAATCTTTAGTCCCTAGCTGTTGTAAGAGCTTAGAATAACCGCCTGATTCTGCTTCTGTATATTGCTTTCTGCTGAGCAAGAGTAGAGCCATGTTAGAACAAGTATAGAGAAGTCATTTCATGAAACAAGTAAAGTTTTAGTTTCCCAGAAATGAGTCAGACAATTACAGGAATAAAGAAGATAAAGAAGCAAGGCCAACGCAAGAATGTAATGGATAAGAAAGTGACAAGGAATACAGACTGTCAACAATTGAGAAAATATACAAAGTTAAGGGACCCCCGGACTATCTAATCTGAAAGTGAGAAATGCTGACTGTTATGCAGAGTTTATGATTTTGCCCTATAAAAACTGTTCCAAAATGTTTGTGAGGCGCGCAGAGTCCTGGGTGCCTCCAGAGACTCTGTTGCCCATTCGCGAATGCTCAATAAAATCCTCATGCTTATTGCAGCCTCTGCGTTTGACTTGTTTTGCCAATGACGGTGCGGCTCCCCTCCACGGGGTTGGACTCTCCCCGAGTCTAACACTCTGGTACTGCAAGGCCCTGACTGAGAGCTTGTCCCAAATGCATGCTAAGAGTCTCCAGGCCACCTCCCTCTGGGGTTACCACTCCCACTGGAAAGCATGAAAACTAGGACAGGGGCAGGCATGGCTGGACAGAATGGTTGGGTCAAACTAGGCTTCAGTGCCCATTGACATGTATGAGAGCTGAATGGGATGTGGGACAGACTGAACAAGTCTGCTGTACATACTGGTAAGCACGGGAACCAGGACAGGGGGCAGGCCTAATGGGGATTGCAGGTCACTCCAACTAGGCTGCAGTTTCCACTGGTTTGTGTGAGGGTCGAGTGTGTGGTGGGCAGGATCAGGCTGGACCACAACACTCATTAGTTCATGTGGAAGACAGGGCTGGAAACAGAACTGACGCAGCAATTGCAACAACCAGCATGTGCATAAACTGATTGGGGTGCCAGACTATACAATACCCTCTACAGGCATGCACACACAAGAATCAAGTCTTGGATCACCCCAGACGAAGTTTCTTTGGAGATCTCTCCAACTGAACTCCTGATCTCAGAACCCCAACCATGGAGAGAATTGCAGGTTCCATGGTCTGAGCATGAAGTGCATGTGCCAAAGCTAAGCCTCCCCAGAGGCTCAGACAGAGCAGTGGACAGCATATCCAGGTGCACGTGGAGGATATGGCAGTCCATTGGAACCTGCAGAGGACACCTGGTACCACAACAGAGGATGGAGGACAGAACAAATCAATCAACTACCCCAGCCATGTGTTGGCAGTGAAAATCTGGGCAAACGGAGACTCTAAAGTGAATTATGTCAGCTAGTGAGAGATTTCATTGTGCTTGGAATGGTGAAACTGGCCGCATCAGAACTATTGAATTATCAAAACCACTTGAGCAGGACCTTCAGAGCATGCCCACACTGGGGACCTGGAATGGGTGGGAAGCTGGATGGGGCTTCTCCCTTTATCTCCCCCCTTACCCCAGATACAGAAAATAATAATAATAATGTGGAAACAATGGTCTTGCTCACTTTGTAGCCCTTGACCCTTTGTGCCCTAACCAACTGTGTAAAGATTATCAAATAAAATAATTTTAAAAAGAAAAAGTCTCCAGGCCACAGATATAACCAAGAAATGACCAGATCTCATCTCGACCTGCAATTGTTTACAACACACATTCATGTGAAGACTGCTGCCTTTCCTGGGCCTCAAATCACTCCAGCAAGATGCCACTCACCCAGAGAGTGAAGTCCTTGTAGCCATGACCTTGTCACTTTCTACCTGTCCTCCTCTCCTACACAGACAGCTACCTTCAGTACCTTCACTCTGAAGACTGAGCTTCTGCTTTCAGGGTCAAATCACATCCAAAGCCCAGCATGCAGCAAGAGACTTGGGCATGCTCTGAATCACCTCACTGTGTGTTTTGAAGGGAGTGAGGAAGACCATGGGTGTATTCTCCTTGTGTCATCAGGTGCAGGTGATGCAAGTTCGTTGTTACTGTAACTGCAGGCCAGACTGCAATGTGCCCCCCACCCCACCCTTGCTCTCCTGACCCCAGCCACATGATGCTCTGCACACACTTTCACAGCATGTAATGTACTTCGAGGCCAAGCCACAGGCTGTCCATACGGTATACTCCCTGAGAGTGCTCTCACTGGCACCTTGAGCCCTGACAGGCCCACAGAGCAGAGCCACTCAGTGCAGGGGCGGTGCCTTGTTCCTTGCAGGCCCCCTGCAGGCCTCAGCCTCAGCCCTGTGGGGAGACTGGTGCCTGCGAACGGCTTCAGTCCTCAGTGGAGGCATCCGGACAACTTGCTGTTCCTTCCACGTTCTGGAAAATCCAGCCCTGTTCTTTGGAGCTTCAGCAGAAATCCCCGGACCCTCCCCACGAAGGAAGGTGGTGGTTCTTGAGGTACTAACCCGCTACCTCCTCACCTCCCCACGGGTGACCCTTTCTCTTTCCTTCAGCCTCAGACTTCTCCTTGGTGGTTTGACTCCACCCTCCCCCATCTCTGGTCTCACCCACACATTTGTGTGCTTAAGCATTTATCTTATGTCTGTTCAGTGTTGACAACACCCAAAGCTGGCCGCCAACGGTGCAGCAGCATGGGTGGCCCCCTTGACCCTTATTCTCTGGGAAAGTAAACTGGAGAGAGAGAAGCAGGATGCAACATCGTTCACATGTCCACTGTATCAAACAACCTCTGTTCTCAGCTAGAGAACAAGCAACACACACAGTCTCATGGACTTCCGCTCTGCTCCCTATCATCACAAGATTAATGGATGAACGGGTATTAAACAGTCTGGAGCCATTTTTTATACTACAGTTAGCGTTCAAAATCAGATAATGCCTTCAAACACATTTGTTTATACCTTGTGTGTCACGGGCAGTTTCTTATCCAGTCCCAATGCAAGGTTAGAGCTCAGTGGAAAGTTTACATTGTATAAAGCACCGGATATCAAACACAAAGTTCGAGGTTGTTTCCTTTGGTTCTTAGTAAATGCCCCGTCACCTGACTACTTCATTTGCCTCCTCAGTAAAATAATCACCAGAGCGGAGGGATTTTCTAAAGTGAACAGTTTTACGGTTCCTGCAGGTTTTGTAATTCTGGAAAGGTGATTGATGAGGTTGCATGATGTGTATCTAGCAGAAAATGATCCGAGAAGGGAGGAGTCCGCTGGGCTTGGGCGACTTGGGAAGAGCTTGGCTTTGAATTGACTCACCTGTTTACTGCTGGAGGGTTCGTGGTTAGGGAGCAGAGGTACATTTGGTGTGGGTATAGCAAGATTATGCCAGCGGGAGCAGTGACAGTCCCATCCCTCCCCCTCGCCTCCCTCCTACACACTCAGTAAAGAGAGGTTTCCGGTGCTGCGAGACAACGAGCAGAAATCAGAAGGAGGTGCAGTGCGCAAAGAGGAGGGGGTGAGAGGCGGGGCAGGCGAGATACTAAACGGAAGAGACCTGAACCTGCAAACGTGCGCGAGACTTCAGATTTAAAAGAGAAAATGCGGGGATCATGTTCGCGGAAGAGGGAAAGCATGCATTTCTGCAATGTAGAGAGGGAACTAAAACCTTATCTCCCAGTATAGGGAGATGCTGAGACGACGAGGATGGGATTCGAACCCACGCGTGCAGAGCACAATGGATTAGCAGTCCATCGCCTTAACCACTCGGCCACCTCGTCACTCCTGCAGCACAATGCTACAGGTGCTGCACTTAAAGAGAGGTCCGTTTTGTTGGTTCTAAATTATCTCCTGTTCTGTTGCTGAAATTGCATTTCCTTTGTGCAAATAATTTTGACTTAAACACCGAAAAAGTAAAGAGGTGATCAGGGGATAGGAGCAGTCATGAAAAAAAATAACAAAAATACCCTTCCGAAGAGAAAAATGAAAGAAACATTAGTGAGGAAGATAGGAGTTGACTATTTAGGATTTAAAATTGTCATTTCTATTCGGTCATGTATATTTAACACCATCAAGAAGCCGTATGTTAGATGTGTTCTTCCACCCTTGTTCCTCGTACAGGATTGACAGAGGAATGGCTAACACTCCTGAGACTGATCTTCAGCTCTCCTAGGAAGCTGGGAGAAGATCTGTCGGTCATGGGTGACCTCCAAATTGTGCGTTGTGCTAAATGTGACATCAGAATAGTTGGATTTTATCTTACAGAATCTTTGCGCTATCTGATGGGTGAGTATTTGATTTAAGACATGGGAAAATGACCAAAAAATGAAAATTTAGCTCTGTTGTGTTTTGCTAAAGCAAATGTTGCCTATTTCTATGCCCTACAGTCAGAGACCACCAGGAGTACATCTGCAGTTGGATTGCAATTGTATTTGTTGCCATTCCTACAACTGAACAAAAGCACAACCATAGGAAACCTTGAAGGTATCAGGAAAGAGGTGTTTAGAAAGAGGCAAAGACAAATGAAGCTGATCTGAACGAGGCTGACTTCTCAGTTTGCACACCTTGAAGAAACAAACTGCCACATTAAGGAGGTCTAACTGGCCAGAAATTAAACAAGGAAAGCCTACCAATAACCGTGTGAGTTTGAAAGTGGTTCCTCCCCAACAGAGCCTGAAGATGACTGCACTTACTCCACAGTCAGCTCCTGGAATGCAGAGCAGGGAAAGCACTGACAAAAAGGATTCCGCCAAGCTGAGCTATAAACATGCGTTGCTTCATGCCACTGTGTTGGACAATTATACAACAACAGGTAAATAATACATTTAAGAAACTTGATGCTCCAGAAAACACTGGGTCCTGTACCGGGAAGAAACACAATTAAGGTAAATCTATAAAAGGACTGCAAGATCTGAGCTCAAATGCTAATCATTGCACTGCAGAGCCCTTAAATAGAAATCTATCTCCTTCTACTGAAAGACACATATGCAAGGTTGATCCAGATCTTGCATTATTTTTGCAAGGTAACATGACCAAGAGAGTCAAGAATATTAATAAATACCTGGTATTTATTAACAGAACCAAGAGAGAGCTGAATAATGATCCCCCAAAATGGGATGTCCCAAGAAACTCTGACATGGCACCTTATTGGTAAAAAGGACATTACAGGCTACATACCCCAAGAGGGGTAGAGCATCCTGCAGAGCTTGAGTAGGCCCAGTGTAATCGCAAGAGTAGTTCTAAATGGGAGGCAGAGTCAAAAGCAGACAATGTAGCTACAGATGCCACAGGTGAAGCAAGCAAGGAGCCAACAGAATCTGAGAAAGTTGAGATGATGGATTCGTTCCTGAATTCTCCAGAACATCACAGCCCTGTTTAAGCCATTAGCTTCATGATCATTGTTGCGACAGCCATAGGAAACGAATGCAGAGGATGCTAAGACAGCATGGTGATTAAGCAAGATCAGCAGGATGAGGCCTACCTGTTTTTTTCTTGAACAATTTGCAGACTTCAGAGGAGTTCCTGAAGCTCTTGTTTGGCTATGACTGAAAGCACCCGAGAATGTTCTGAACAGTCAACAGATGTTTTGAACCTCACAGCTGGGGTTGCTGGGAGTCCAGGGCGTTAACCTTTGTGCCTCAGGATCTTGGAATGGCATGTGACTGTGATGCTAGACAGATCTAGACTCAAACTGCAACTCACATTTCAGCATACCAGGCTTTCTTATTTAAGGGGCTTACAGCTGCAGTTCTGAAATATATTCCTGCAGCAGATCAAGACAACCTGAGGGAGAATCAAGAAATAAAATGCAGACTGTACAATGACAAATGGAACACACGGGGAACCATCTCCTGAAGTCACAAAGCATGTACGGAAGCAAGGGTTGCTTTCTGTTCTTCCCAGGGACAAAATCAGGATAGTCATCAAAACCAGAACAGGTCCCACCGAGATTTGAACTCGGATCGCTGGATTCAAAGTCCAGAGTGCTAACCATTACACCATGGGGCCCTGCCCAGAGTATTTACTTGGAGTATTAGATCGTAGGAAGAAATTTCCAGAGTTTGGAAATTAAAGGATAATGTTTTGGGTGCCGAGAACTTGCAAGGCATGTAGCTTTTTCATCATATATATATTTCCATAAACATTTTGAAGATACTTGTACTTCATGGTGTATGGCTTTAATGGAAGAAATATTGGTGGAATATTTATTGCATCCCAATTGATAGCGTAGATTTCAAGAGGCTCACGTGCAAATCTTTTGGGACTAGGTTTGTGTTGGAAAAGACGGTTCCCTACAAAGAAAAAAGGAAGTAGTCCAGGGTGCGAAAAATGTATCCTGAAGCAAACAGATGATAATCTAAGGTAATTTAATTTACCAGGATTAGGAGAACTCTGTCATCCGACAAGGCAGGAGAAGCAAGAATCAACAGAAGTGGAATTGCAGGTAAAAGCAGAGATGCTGTTCTCAGATCAGGGCCTTGTTGCTAACCTGGTTTGGGTATTCAAGGCAGGAACAGTGAAAATATTATAGGACCTACAAGAGGAAAAAAAGAACTGAAACATTTGTCTCACCCACCTTCCTCCATACCTGACCCTCCCCACCCTAATCAGAGACTCACATAAGTGTTATCCCTCTCAGCTATGTAAACAATATTAAAAATAAAAGAAATACCTTAGGTCCCACCGAGATTTGAACTCGGATCGCTGGATTCAAAGTCCAGAGTGCTAACCATTACACCATGGGACCAAAGATAACAACTGCAAATGGCAGATTTTTCATAGTGTGTTGATATTATTTGGCTTAGCCTAGTTGAAACGTTTGTGTTTTGGATTTCCCAACTAGGGACATATCCCAGGAGTTCAAAGTAACAAAATTGCCCTTGCCAAAAGAAGGGCGGAGCACATGCAGGTTATTTGCATGTCAGTGCTCCTCGAAAACCCAGATTGTAAATCATAGCTAATAAATGTCTGGCTACCAATGAGTTTACAGAAAAAAAAAGTGTCAGCATTTAAGAATCTCAAAGGCCAAGTATACACCTAGAAAACGTGAAAAAGAAAACAATCTAAGTTTCAGAAATTTGTTAGTAGTTTTCTTTTTTTCCAGATTTCATTTTATTTTCATTCCGACTTGCGTTTCTTAGTGGAGCAATTACTCATAGAAGAGGAAAAATTTCTTATCTTTGTTTTGACTTTTATTATTGTTGCCTGCAAAGATGTGTTAGCAAGAATAACAGAGTTTTAGATAGCAAAGCAGGTTTCTTTTCTTTGTTTTTTATTTGTTTGCTTGTTTGTTCTGTTTTGGTTTGCTTTTTAATAAGTGTTTGCCAACTTCCAAAAACAGCTTTGAAAATTACCCATCTGGTATTTCCTGTCTGCAATTACAGCCACTGAAAGAATAGCAAAATACTTGAGAAAGGAAGAAAGACTAGAAATCTCTTTCTTTCTTTCTTTCTTTCTTTCTTTTTTTTTTTTTTTTTGAGTTTTTTAATTTTATGGTGCAATTTCGGAGAAATTGAGATTTCCCTCCCCTACCCACCTTCCCCAAAAAATGACTAGAAATTTGTTTTACATATTGATTTTAAAACATTAAATACGCTCACAAGTGGGACAATGATGCTTTAAAAGTTTACAAAAATCTGAGGAAAATGCCAAGCGTAAATTAAAGGCAGGAGAGACTGAAAGTCAGACAACAGCTGGAATACAGAAAGCCTCACACCTTGGGAAGCAGCAGCTGAAGACTTCAGGGCAAAACCACCTGAATGTTTTTCCAGCAGGCTTACAACAGACTTCAAGTGGTTTCCTAAAGAGGCTTCCGAAGAATTCCATGTAAGTCTTGTCACAAAAAAGGCGGAAAACTATCAACTGCATGCTAAAATTAGCGAGGAACACGTATTCCGTTTCACTCTGCTTATTCCGTTTCCACGTTTGAACGTTGCAAGAAAAACGATAGTTCTCGTAGTCGGCAGGATTCGAACCTGCGCGGGGAAACCCCAATGGATTTCAAGTCCATCGCCTTAACCACTCGGCCACGACTACGTATCTGGGTACCTTATCTGGAGAGAATCCCATGAGGGAAGGCAGCTTTTGTGCTACACCTGGTTTTAAAAATCTCGGTTTTCCCGCAATGCAGCGACGGTTTGAAAAGTCAGACACCAGAGTTAACAGCTCCAAAATTTGAAACTCGGGATGTTGGCTAGAGGGGTGACAAAAATTGCAAAATCTGTCGCACGTAGGAGCCGCTAACAGACGTCACGAACGGGATGCGCAGAGGGCATGGGGTCTCCAGATCTGGAAAGCCAAATGACAGATGCCCAGACATAATATGCTTTCTGGACAGAGAAAATAGAAGTGGGTGTGTTGTGCTAAACGCCTTCGGAATTATTAACAGGGTTTTGCACATACTTGGTGAAAAGACTTGGGTTAGCTCTGTTCAACTTTCCCAAGTCATGTGAATCAAAACACTCAAACTAGCAGAGGATGGTTTCGATCCATCGACCTCTGGGTTATGGGCCCAGCACGCTTCCGCTGCGCCACTCTGCTAGATGGCTACCGGGCTCTTTAATTATGTATTCGAGATGTTAATGGTTACAGTTCTGCTTGCATAATCCTGTAAAAATTTATGAGAACCGAAGTAACTCATTTAATTATGCTTGGCTCCTACAGCCATCACTCCGCATACCACCGGATTTACTTCTCCCGCGAAAACGTCAATCGAGCTCCCTCGAAATTAAGTCTCACCTGTAGTAAAACAAAAAGCAACATGCTTAGCGTGACTTCTAAGAAATTCATTACCAGAGTGCATTCCAAATGCAGAAAAGGAGTAGTTGCATTGGCCGGGAATCGAACCCGGGCCTCCCGCGTGGCAGGCGAGAATTCTACCACTGAACCACCAATGCCTCACACAATCGTCCTTCCTATTTATAGCTATTTATATTTACACTGAAACTTTTTTTAAATTCTCCCAATCCGATTAAAATTTCTTAAACAGTGTAAAAACAAAAGACTGAAACTGTGAGATATGATCCTTGGAAAATTTTTAAAACTTTGGACTGAAAAAAAATTTGAAAATCACTTAAAATGCAAGCCAATTCAGTTAATGTACCAAATGAAAAAGCTTAACTTCAACTCAAACACCAAGCAATCTCATCTGGGGGATAAAAAAAAAATAAAAAGGAGTGGCTGTGATGTAGAGACCCACGTTTAGCCAGGAGAGTTGGTCATTGGAAGCGGGAATAACGTAGGCAATGTTAAAATACCAACTCCCGCAGTAGTACTCCACAGACATCTCTTACTTGTCCTCTCTTGAGGACGATTCCTCCGCGGTATCCTTAAGTCCTGAGGTCTTTTTTAGCTTTGGAGCCAAAAGACAAAATGGTTCCGTGGAAATAAATAGGAAACCTCGTTCCTATTTTTTGAGGAATTATCAGTTGGTTTAGCAACACAGAAAAATCAGACAGCAAGCAGGAGAGCAATGGTCTCTACAGACATGGTTCTTGAGACTGGCTTCAGGAACAGCCTGAAGGATTGCCTGGCTTGTAAAGCAGAAGGACCCGAAAGGTGTTCCTCTTCTGTCTCTCTTCTCACCACTTTGCAAAGTTGCAAAGCCAATTAGAGACGACTTACTTGGCA